GCCTCAGCTGGAACTATAGGCGCGCCCTACCAAGCCCGGCTAATTTTTTTTGATTTATTGTAGAGATGAGGTCTCGCCAAGTTGCCCAGGCGAGTCTCGAACCTGCAAGCTCAGGCAATCCACTCACCTCAGCCTCCCAAACCGCGGGATTACAGGCTGAGCCACCGAGCCAGGCTTCTTCAAGGTATTTTAATGGAAATTTAACATTTAACCTGAGACATCTGAAATATGATAAAATTGAAAAGATATTCTTCATGAGAGGACCTTGAATAATTATTGTAATACTGTAAGAAAAGGATTGGCAGTAACAGGAAACTGCTGGGGGGCGTGGGGAGGTGGGATTGGCAGTAGTGGGAGTCTGCTGGGGAAGGGGACACACCTCATCAACAAGGGTACCTGCATAATCAATATCTGTATACTTAACCCTGAACTGTACCCCACATCTTTAAAATAAAATTTAAAAAGAAAAAAGATATTATACAAAAAAGCGTTAAAATAGTAAAATGTTTACAAAACAAATATGCTCATAAAATTCTGAAAGTCTACAGTACATATGTACATAGAATTATATTAAAAGAAAATAAACATATATCCTGCCGGGCTCGGTGGCTCAGCCTGTAATCCCGCGCCTTTGGGAGGCTGAGGTGAGTGGATTGCCAGAGCTCGCGGGTTCGCGATCCGCCTGGGCAACTTGACGAGACCTCATCTCTACATAAATCAAAAAATTAGCCGGGCGTGGTAGCGCGCGCCTGTAGTTCCAGCTACTCGGAAGGCTGAGGCGGAAGGATCCCTGGAGCCCAGCAGGCGAGGCTGCGGTGGCCGGGAGTGGCCACCACACTCCAGTCTGGGCAACAGAGTGAGACTCCAACTCAAAAAAAAACCAAAAAAAATATATCCTTTCATTTAAGGACCTATGCTGTGGAAAACTGGATTAAAATCTACTTAATATATTTATTAATCCTGACAAATTAAATTTTCAAATATTTTTATGAGTAATAGTCTATAATTCTAAGACACATTATTTATTTTACCAATGTCTATAAAGTCTGATGAATGTAAAAAAACACAAATTTCTTAAAAACTATAGAATTTCTGAGAAGAGTCACAATAAAGCAACATTTCTATATTTGAGTCACAAAATTGGGAGAACACCAATTTTTAAATTTATATATATTTTTTCAGTCAAAGTCTCACTCTGTCACCTAGGCTGAAGTGCAGTGGCACAATCACAGCTCACCACAACCTCAACTTTTGGGGTCATGTGATCCTTCTGCCTCAGTCTCCTGAGTACCTGGGACTATAGCCATGTACCACTGTGCCCAGCTAAGTTTTAAATTTTTCTTGTGATATGAGGTCTTGCTATGTTGCCCAGGCTTCTCGAACTCCTGGGCTCAAGAGATCCTCTCACCTAAGCCTCCCAAAGTACTGGGATTACGAGTATGACCCATCATACCCGGCCTTTTTTTTTGAGTCAGAGTCTCACTCTTTTGCCCAGGCTGGGTGCAGTGGCATAGCTCATGGACACCGCAGCCTCCATCTGCTGGGCTCAGGCGATCCTTCCGCCTCATCCTTCCAAGTAGCTGGAACTACAGGCAGGCACTACCATGCATGGCTAATTTTTTTAACTTATTGTAGAGACGAGGTCTTGCCAAGTTGCTCAGGCTGGTATCGAACCTCCGGGCCTTGACAATCCTTTCGCTATGGTTTTCCAAAGTGCTGGGATTACAGGCTTAAGCCACTGCCCCCCAACCTATTTTTGAATATAAATAAATATATCAAGCTCATTGTAAAAATAAAATTAAATATGTATGTTAAATTTCTTTGACATAAAGATTTATATAAATAGACATTATTCTTTATTTTACAACATTTGTAATGATTATACTTACTGTAATTGCAGCATCCATTTATGAAATAATTTTTCATATTGTTGATTTAGTTGTTTAAGTTCAGCAGAAAAGGAAGGCGAAACCTTACGCAATAAGTTACGTAAAGTCTCCTAAGAAGAAAAGGGGAAAAAAGGACAAAATTCATACTCTAACTACATACATCAAATCAATATAAATGAAAACTATTTCCTTAAAAGTTGACATTTCTAGAAGAAGCCATTAGTGGAAACTATGGTAATCTGGTTTGGTAATGAATGCATCAACTAAATACATAAAATTCGTCAAGGATATTTGTTTTCTTAAAAATTTTAACATCCTTTTTGGTATAAATATATAACAGTAAAATGATTTGGTAATTTTGTCCAGAACCATTTTATTTATAAATTCCAAATTAATTTCTAAATAGAGCATTACCATAAGGAGATAATTAAACCTGCCTCTCCCCTTTTAACAACATATCCAGACAGTTTTTTAAAAATCTATGAACTTGAAAAACTGTAAATGCTTAAGGTAATATTAAGTTCAATATTAATTCTCAGAAAATATTAAAAGTTTTTTTATAACTTACCACTATCATTAGTAAAATAAACCTGTTCCACATCTCCCTTTCCAGAAGCTATTTCTTTTTTTTTTTTGAGTTGGAGTCTCGCTCTGTCACCCAGACTGGAGTGCAGTGGCTGCTCCCGGCCACTGCAGCCTCGACCTGCTGGGCTCCAGCGATCCTTCCGCCTCAGCCTTCCAAGTAGCCGGAATTACAGGCATGCACTACCACGCCTGGCTGATTTTTTGATTTATTGTAGAGATGAGGTCTCGCTGCCAGGCGAGTCTCGAACCCACGGGCTCAGGCAATCCACTCACCTCAGCCTCCCAAAGGCGCGGGATTACAGGCTGAGCCACCGAGCCCAGCTCCTCCAGAAGCTATTTCTAACAAATCCTTTATCTTTGACAAGTATGGCAGATTTATAAATAAACCGAGAAAGATGCATTGCCCTGCACCCAAAACATGGAAATTCATGCTGGTGAATCAAACATAGCTCATTTCTTGAAATGAAAACTCGAGCAAAAAGTTGTATATGCATCTTTACCTTGACACTGCTATGTTTTCATGAATCTACCTTTCAAGTAAAATATTCTTTTAAGAGTTGCAATCAACATTCTAGACATGTGGCCTGTACAGTGTTTATTATCCACATTCTTTTTTTTTTTGAGTTGCCCAGTCTGGAGTGCAGTGGCACACTCACAGCCACCCCAGTGTCTACCTGCTGGGCTCTGGCGATCCTTCTGCCTCAGCATTCCAAGTAGCCAGAACCACAAGCACTCACTACTATGCCCGGCTAGTTTTAAAAAATTTATCGTAGAGGTGAGGTCTCGCCAAGTTGCCCAGTTGGTCTCAAACCCGCGGGCTCAGGCAATCCACTCGCCTTGGTCTCTCAAAGTGCTAGGATAACAGTGTGAGCCCAGCCTATCTACATTCTTAAAGCAAAATAGGATTACTTTTAAGTAAAACTATTATGTAGGTAGTTAAAAACAGAAAGCACTAGTATCTTTTCCAGTAGTCATTTATACTGGATTATTTGAGCACATTCACACTTGAGTATGAACTCTGGAATGGTGGCTCATCTGTGCACTTCATTTCAAACTCTAATATTCATGAAGTACACTGCTTACTCCAAAACTTACCCCCTCTCTGTAGCCAAACCCTTTGTCACTTGACTCTTGCAGTTCCTCCCACTAAGTAGGTGGGTGGAGTATAGTTCCTTGCCCTTTGACTTTGTTTTCAGCCACATAATTTCCTATGGCCACTAGAATGAGGTAGAAGTGACAATGCTCATTTTGAGCCCAGGCTTTAAAAGGTCCTGTCTTTTTCCACTTTTTCTCTTATGCCTTTGCCATCGGTCATGAGAACATAATGCCCGTTGGTCGAATAAGGGAGAGGGACACAGAGCAAATCCTAGATCAGCCAACCTCTAACTGACCCATAGACATGAGAAATAAGTGCTTATTGTTATATGCTGCTACAACTGTCGTGTCAATCAATGACAGAGCTTCTACGCCTCCATTAACGAGTGTTTCTCTCAAAAAAACAAGACCAAAAAAAAACACAAGTGTTTCTTTCATCCTTCCAGAAAGCTTTTTGTCCCTAAGTCCTATAAGGTCCTTTTGACTCTAGTTTCATTTGTCCTTCTTTGGTGTTGCTTATACAAAAATGCATATTCTAAGCAAATGTTAGTGCCATCTCTCCTTTGGAACAACTTGGCATCTTGCCACTTATTTTTCCTTAGTATCTAATTTGAATCTCGATACTAATAAACCAGGTGACAGAAATAAAACAAAAAACATGCAGCACCATTCAGGTGGAGAGCCTCACCCTATATGCTCTCTCTTTTACATAGCTCAAAAACTCCATCAAAAGTTCTGTATACCTTACAAAATTCACTAAATTATGGTTTGCAGATTATAAGAAAATCTCGATACTCTGAGCCAATTAACAATCAACTGTACTTACCACTGACTGAAAGATAATTCTCACTCAGATGGTCCTGTCTCCTCTCTTAGAAAGATATCAGTAAAAACCGCAACAAGTATAACTGTATAACATTTTTTGTAAAGTGAGCTACCGGCACCATAATACAAAATAACCTTGTTACCTTACTGCACTGGGCAGGTTTTCCATTCTTAAGTAGAAAACTCTCTACTTTTTGCAAAATTTGTTAACTGAAAGTCAGGATGCACTATTTTATGAGCAGTGTGAGGTTCAGTGAATACATGGAGTAAATGAATAACAGAGACTAATGGCACATGAATATCAAGGAACTATAACCCTGATGATTATTATAGATTCTGAAGAAACTATAAAGTAGTAAGAGGAAAAAAAGGGCAATTACAATATGTCAAACTGAATTCTAATCTAGTGAAATATTTACTATTTAGAAATAAAATATGTAATAATCACATCACATTAATCTGTGTTTAATTTGACCAGTTCAATAATTCAGCTTGTGTACATACTGTTCTTCAAATTTGTTGCTTATGTAGCATATGTTTTTGGACACAGTAAGAAAAATTTGGAAGTAACACTCCTTGCAACATACCTGATCCAGTTTAGCTCGCTTTAGTTTCTGGAGCGTTCTATTAGAGGTTAAAACTTTTGAACTGCTGTGAGCTTCAAAATATTCTTCCACTAATTTACTCTGAAAGAGAACAGAGTAAAGTCACTTTTAGTAGTTTCAGATATTTGTCTTATATCAAAACTAGAAACTAAAATACAACATATGAAATTATTTATTTAATAAATATTTTCTTTTTTTTTTTGAGTTGGAGTCTCTCTCCATTGCTCAGGCTGGAGTGCAGTGGCACACACACGCCACCCCAATGTCCCTGCTGAGCTCTGGTGATCCTTCCACCTCAGCCTTCCAAGTAGCCAGAACTATAGGTGCATGCTACCACATCCAGTTAATTTTTTAAAATTTTATTGTAGAGATGAGGCCTCGCCAAGTTGCTGGGCTGGTCTCAAACCTGGGGGCTCAGGCAACCCACTCGCCTCGGCCTCCCAAGGTGCTGGGATTACAGACTGAGCCACTGAGCCTGGCCTTAAATATTTTTTTTCCTTTTTTTTTTTGAGTTGGAGTCTCACTCTGTCGCACAGACTGGAGTGCAGTGGCCGTTGGGCTCTGGTGATCCTTTCACCTCAGCCTTCCAAGTAGCTGGAACTACAGGCATGCGCTATGACGCCTGGCTAATTTTTTGATTTATTGTAGAGGTGAGGTCTTGCCAAGTTGCCCAGGCAGGTCTCAAACCCACGGGCTCAGGCAATCCACTTACCTCAGCCTCCCAAAGTGCGGGATTACAGGCTGAGCCACTGAGCCCAGCTAAATATTTTCTTTTTAAAGCAACAATTCAGTTTAAGGAGCAAACATATTTAATTTCAGTAATAAAAGCGAGTAACTATTAGGATCATACAAGTTAAGGAAAAGACTAGGTGAAGCAATCTGTTCCTAATTACAATTCCTAAGTTACAATATATAATTTCCATTTAGGCTGAAAAAAAAGAAGATAGTTTTATACATCAGGATCTTTGTTTTTCCTCAATTAATCTTAGCAAATCCTTTAATATTAGTATGGTTGAAGTACTGTGAAAATGAGGAAGAAATCAACTGCATGGTAAAGAATAAAAAAGACAAGCTACTATTCTAGTAAAATGAAATTTTCTTTCTACTGCTTGTTCTTCTGATTTGGGGCAGAACTAACCTCTGGGATGGGAGGCTATTTAAGCAGTAGACTCCTTCACACAGAGATCATTCTTAGCCTTTATACAGAGCACCAAGATAACTAGCCTTTTTTCAAGCCAGGGTGCCGGGCAGTGTTCTTTTAAACAACTCAACATGAATCCACAGCCACATCATTTATTACTTACATTGACTTGAATATATCAACAATGTTACAAAAACAAAACTACATAAAAGGGATACACTGAGAACTTATGCCTCCAATTGTCCAATTAATAAATATTTAAAAGCTGGCAGCCGGGCTCGGTGGTTCAGCCTGTAATCCCAGCACTTTGGGAGGCTGAGGTGAGTGGATTGCCTGACCCGCGGGTTCGAGACCCACCGGGCAACTTGGCAAGACCTCATCTCTACAATAAATCAAAAATTTGCTGGGCATGGTAGCACACGCCTGTAGTTCCAGCTACTTGGAAGGCTGAGGCGGAAGGATTGCCAGAGCCCAGCAGGTTGAGGCTGCAGTGGCTGGGAGCGGCCACTGCACTCCAGTCTGGGTGATAGAGTGAGACTCCAACTCAAAATAAATAAATAAATAAATAGATAAATAAATAAATAAAAGCTGGCATGCGGTGATGGGTCAAACTTGTAATCCCAGCACATTGGGAAGCTGAGGCGAGAGGATTGCCTGAGCCCAGGGGCTCAAGATCAGTCTGGGCAACATGGCGAGACCTTGTCTCCACAGTAAATAAAAAAATTAGCTGGGTGTGGTAGCACGCAGCTGTAGTTCCAGCTACTAGGAAGGTTGAGACGGAAGGATCTCTTGAGGCCACCAGCTTCAGGGGGAGCAATGTTGTTGCACTCCAGCCTGGGTGACAGAGTGACACTCTGACTCAAAAAAAAAAAAAAAAATTTACAAAATTCATTTTATTTTTTATTTTTATTTTTTTTGAGTCGGAGTCTCACTCTGTCGCCCAGACTGGAGTGCAATAGCCGCTCCCGGCCACCGCAGCCTCTATTTGCTGGGCTCCAGCGATCCGTCCACCTCAGCCTTCCAAGTAGCTGGAACTACAGGCACGCTACCATGCCTGGCTCATTTTGATATATTGTAGAGATGAGGTCTCACCAAGTTGCCCAGGCGGGTCTCGAACCCGCGGGCTAAGGCAATCCACTCACCTCAGCCTCCCAAGGCGCAGGATTACAGGTTGAGCCACCGAGCCCGGCTTACAAAATTCATTTTATACAACTGAATTGAGATGTCACTTTTAGCTTATGTGAGGGGGGGACAAAAAAACCCAGAATTTTTTTTTTGGAGGGCAGGCCCCTTGTAGTACAGGATTCTCCTGCTACATAAGTATTCTAGGAATCCACAAGTATTCTAGGAATACCATCTAATATTGCGGTGGAGGCTGCATTCGGCTTCAGTGAACTTTTTTTGTTTGTTTGTTTTGAGTTGGAGTCTCACTCTGTCGCCCAGACTGGCGTGCTGTGGCCACTCCCGACCACCGCAGCCTCGACCTGCTGGGCTCCAGCGATCCTTCCGCCTCAGCCTTCCGAGTAGCTGGAACTACAGGCATGCGCTGCCACGCCCGGCTAATTTTTAATTTTTATTGTAGAGATGAGGTCTCGCCAAGTTGCCCAAGTGGGTCTCGAACCCGTGGGCTCAAGCAATCTACTCACCTCAGCCTCCCAAAGCATGGGATTACAGGCTGAGCCACCGAGCCTGGCTTTTCAGTGAACTTTTTAATGGATCATCTTTCAACACATTTGCCCATATCATGACAGGTGATTTATAAGTGCAGTTGCCCTCACTGTGCTGAGTGTCAGTAGTCCTAGACCACAAATGGCATGACCCCCATGCCCTATCCTCCCTATTCACCTGATCTCGCCCGAGCGATGTGATGAAAAAAGTCCTCAAAAAGAAACATTTTGCCGATGTGGAAGAGGTGAAACAAAAAGAGAAGCACTAAAAGGCATTGAAATTCATGAGTTCAAAAACTGTTTTGAGCAGTGGAAAAAGCGTCTCTATAGGTGTATTGTAGCAAATGGATAGTACTTTGAAAGTGACTGAAGTTTAAACATGTAAGAATAAATACACAAATTTTTTAGAAATAAATTCTGGGCTTTTTTTGAGTCCCCCTTGTACTAGGGTATTAGTTCATGAATATGCAGACAGACCAGAATAGAAAGTGCAGAAACAGAAACAAATATATGTGGAAATTTATTTGTAAGGTTGAAAAAATATAGAAAAGTGACAAAAAAAATTATTTTGAGAGCTGTGGATCTCTTCTGTTAGGGTAGCCTGTTTCGAGGTATACAATTTTAGATTAAGGTTAAAGTCTCTCTCTTCACTTACTGTTTTATCTCTTTTCATTTTCTTAGAAGGTGTTTCTCTGCAAACAGGTGCTGAAACTACTCTATTCTGAGATTGAATCTGTTGGTTGAACATGACTGCATTAGCGTCCTCTTCACATTCCTGTGCAACTCCTTCATCATCCTCTGAGTTAGAAGCAGAATATTCACTTTCACTATCAGAATGAGACCTTGGAACTGGGAGAGGGAAAAAGCACTTGAGAAAATTTCACAGCGTGACGAGAAAGGCAATATGAAGTAATGGAAAGAGCAAGGGCTTTGGAGTAAGAGTTTGAATTCTAGTTTTGTCATTACTTGCTCACAATTTCACTAGTTAATAGTTAATAAATCATCTGAGCACCAGTTTCCTCATTTATCAAATGAGACTAATAGTGTCAAATTTAATAAACCATTGTGAAGATTACATTCCAATATATACAGCAACTAATAATGCCTGACATACAGGAACTATGGTAGAAATTGTCAATCACACCTAATACCATTCTCCTTCTATCTTCATTGCTAATAGAACTCTATTTTTGCAAAATGTGGCAATATGCCCCACCCTAGGGAATGAGTCATGATAACTATCATTTCTCTCTCCTAGACCCTTGCTTTTCCAGCCTTTCTTGCAATGATGGTTGTCTATCTATCCTTTCACCAACAAGACTTGAGGGGAAAATAGCTGGAAGTTTCTGGAAAGATTTTCCTCACTTATAGAAGAAAAGCCCTATACACCCATAGCTTAAAGCTATGAAAGCCATTTTGCAATATGAAATATGAAACTTATAGCCAGGTGTGGTGGCTCATACTTATAGTGCCAGCACTTTGGGAGGCTAAGGTGAGAGACTAACTGGAGCAACTTAGCAAGACCTCATCTCTACAATAAATCAAAAAATTAATTGGACACAGTGGTGTGTGCCTTTGGTTCCAGCTACTTGGAAGGCTGAAGTGGAAGGATCACCTGAGTCCAGCAGGTCAAGACTGCAGTGGCCATGAGCATGCCACTGCACTCCAACCTGGTGAAGAATGAGACTCTGACTCTAAATAAATAAATAAATAAATAAATAAATATCAAACTTAAAGATGAAAAAATGCTGGTAGCAGAGGAAAAAGATAGGAAGAACCTGGTTCCTTAATGACACTGTTGAGTCTCTACATTAACCACAGAACTTGTATCTGTACTGCTTCTGATGAGAGATACTTAAATGTCTATGGCTTACTAGACTACTACTATAGAATGTTCTGTTGCTGCTTACTGAAAATGCCATCCTAATATAGCATTCAATAAATGGTAGTTACTAGACACCAGGACATTTTCTACCTTACTTTCAGGTGTACCTCCTACATGTAGGCCTATATGCTTTATGGTGATCGAGGGGAACAGGGGAAGCTCATTTTTGCTTTTTAAAAAAAAATTTTTTTTTTTTAACTTTACAGATGTGGGGTACAATTCAGGGTTAGATATACAAACATTGATTATGCAGGTACCCTTCTTGATCACCTTTGCTTTAATAAAGATGTTTTGTTGGGGTACGGAGAAAACATAAGACATGGGATATGTTTGACATAATACAATAATCATAACTGTACATGTTAGCTTTTGCTGTCTCAGATACCCAATCATTTAGCATTATCATTTTTTGTTTTGTTTTGTTTTGTTTTGAGTTGGAGTCTCACTCTGTCACCCAGACTGGAGTGCAGTGGTCACTCTTGGCCACTGCAGCCTTGACCTGCTGGGTTCCAGAGATCCTTCAGCCTTAGCCTTCCAAGTAGCTGCAACTACAGGCACGGCTACCACACCTGGCTAGTTTTTTATTTATTGTAGAGATGAGGTCTCACCAAGTTACCCAGCTCTCACCAAGAGCCTGTGGGTTCGAGATGAGGTCTCGAACCTGCGGGCTCAGGCAATCCACTCACCTCGGCCTCCCAAAGCGCTGGG